ATGCATTACATCTACAAACAGAGCATACAATGCGAGCACATGATACACTTTTGGTGTTTGTTTCATTTCTTCGGTAATGTTACAGAATGTTTCGGAAAATGAAGATTCCAGTACCACTTTAAATGTTTAGTTTACATTCGTTTCCCAATGACCCGGAATAGTACTGCCAGAATGAACGATATCCAAAATGTCTTCTAGTTTACAAACTTCAGCCGTTCTGTTTACACGGGGATCACTATTCATTCTGTTTTCACTCGTCATCAACAACACACTTATTAAACAGGTATTGACTGCATTCTGATAGATATATACAGATTGTTTTCCGTAGTAGTTACCCATTTTTATTTTACTTTAAAGAAAAGTCAAAGTATCGAAAAAAAAATCCCTGGCTTCAATCAACCGCTGGTTATTAGTCTTCTTCCTCTCCATCCAGCTCGGCATGGATCTTTTCAAGTCTCTCCTTGAGGCGTCTGCAGTTTTTGAGATTGTGCAGAAAAGCCTCCGAAGCGCCTTGGATCCTCCATTCAGCCGTGTAAATGTTTTTATCATTAAGACTCTGGTCAATCGCAGTAATGAAGACAACGGGAGAAAAAAATAAATAGTGTTAAAATCACCAACTTCCCTTTTAGAGTCACAGTCTTTAAGAAAATACATTTGTTACAAAGTAATTGACATTCTACCAGTTGCCAAATGTTCCTACATAAAAGTGTATCAAAAAAGTATCTTGGTAGCTGAAAATAACTAAAATATCAGAGAAAACCTACATTATTTAACTGTACAAGTGTTTTTAAAAATAAAAAACGGGGTATTAAAGAAACCCCCATTCCTTACAAAGTACTTCATATTATACCCTTTTGTTAAGTGTTGCATACATCAAAGTGTATCTAAAAGTATATTGGTAACACAAGAAAAGAGAAAAAAGTCAAAATCTGCCTTGTGTCAGTAAAATAAGTGTTAAAAATCACAAACTTGCCTTTTAGAGAAACAGTCTTTAAGAAAAAATCTAATCAGACAATGTACTTCATTTTCTAGTTTTAAGGTTTTGCATACCTCAAAGTGTGTCTAAAAGTATCTTGGCAAGAGAAAAAAAGCAATAATCTGCCTTGTGTCAGTGAATAAGTGTTAAAATCACAAACTTATAGATAAGCTAGAGGCTATTTTAGATTTGTCAATTAGAGTTAAAGGGTTAAATAACATTTTCAAACTGCTGTTCATAGTTACTGGATACATAACGAACCTCATCATTATCTCGATTTTCTACTTCCATTTTTATTTAACAGTGAAACGTCTTATTTTAGTACAGTCTAGTCAGAGGAGTTAATACTATTACTATATATGAAAGCAAAAATAAAACACATTTTCATTTGTTATGGTTGTTTAATTGAAAAACACACCATTCGCCACATCTTCAGAAAGACATATTACATTTGACCAAGTTAATGTCGTAGTGCATACAAGGTAATAGACTTAACGATTTGCACTGCTGCTTCTCTCCGCGTTTCATTTACAGTGATCGGTTTATCGTTCAATTCACATTGCCCAAGTAGATGTTTAGGGGTCTCTTGGAAGTAAATGAATGCATTTTTTATATCAGATAAGTGCATTAACATCACTTGCAAATTCTCTATCCTTTCACCCGCAACGATTATAATCTGCTTTGCTTCTTCTTCGGTTTCACCATTATTAGCTCTGAATGTAATCCTTTCTGGGGCTTCTTGTGCTTCTTGTGGTCTGTTGAATACCTGGCATAGGATTTGTTTAGCTGTAAGGACGGGTACCATATAATTGTCTTCAAAAGCTTTGTCTATGTCGTCACACGTTTTGGCATATCCTTCGCTGTAATGACAACCGATACTAGAATAGAGATCCTCCAACAGTCTTTTAATACATGTTCTGGCACTGTCGCCAATTTGGGCAATTCCATAGTATCGTGCTTTTTCTCTCATTATATTGAAGCAAAAGCTCTGCCATTGCTTTTGGCATTTGTTCAACACATTCGCAGCAGTCGGTTAGCGGTAGATGATCTATAAGATTATTATGATCCGGTAATGGCTCTACAACACTATCAGCATCCTCTATAGTTAGTTGAAATTTCTTCACTTTGTTCCTTTTTCTTTTCACCTTCCTTCTTTTTGTCTTTTTCCGTCCTATTGTCCCTTTTCTTTTCATTCGCATTCTGCGTTTGCTTTTCATTTTTCTTCTCCTTTTCATTTTTCTTTTTCTTTTTCTTCGGTTTTCTTTACTTTTGCTTTTCTTTTCTGCTATTTGTCGTTTGCGATCTTGGCGAGTTGTATGAGATATATTGTTTCTATAAAGGTTATCTATAATACCATCGTTTAAAGAAAGATATTCTTCATATGTCATTTTATCATGGTCCTCTTTTGTCCTAAAGACCTTACATGGATATGATATAGAGGAAAGCTCTTCTTCGGGAACATCCTCTCCCTTACTTTGTAACATCCAGTCATTAAGCCCATATCCGTTATCCTGGTGATAATAAGGGTAGGCTACATCAGACTTGGTTTTTCTCAGATCCATGGCTAGTTTTCAACGGTCGTCTTAGTGGGGTCCTTAGTTTTGGATGATTTGCTGAGTGGGGTGGGACTTATTGCGTTGAGTGGGGGGGAGTCATCTGTAGAAATGAGAGTTTCTTTCACCCGTATAATGTCCCTCACTGTTTGACTCTTTTTAAAAAGTTATTTTTCATCTATCATTTTCAACCAAGCAGCATGAGGTCAAATTTAATAATAAGTAATAGTTTGTCACGATTTTACGGGAAAAAGTCAGAGCGCAATGTCACATCTTAAAGACAGCTTGAACTTGATGATGGTTAGTCTTTTTCAAACATACCATACGTTCTGCATGTTAGTATATTAGGCCAATCGGGTTAGGCCCTACTGCCACACTCCCTCAATAGGGAAGTCACGCTTTGGGAAGAGGTGTTTAATTTCACAGATCTGACTTGATTGTTGTTGTGATGGCTGAAGGAAGAGGGACGGGGGAGGAAAATTCAGAGGGTGAAGAAGCAGAAAGATAACTTGTTTGTAAAACGGACAGCACGTCAGTTTCAGGAAAGATGACACCGGTTTTATGCATGACATGCCAAATATCCTGAAGCCCTACAAAAAAAAAAAAAAGGTACAAGTATATTGTGTTGAAAATATCGCAAAAAGTCGTAATATTGTATAATGTAATAGTTGCATGTTGTATTTTGATAAAAATCACTGTATATTCAAAAATATAATGGAAAAAGGAGAGAAAAAACAAATATCACAGTATGTTGAAAAATATGAAAAAAGTAATGTTGTGTTAAAATAACATGAAAGAAATCAAAGTAAAGCATCTAAAAAACATATATTTAAAAACGTAATGTTAGTCAAGTAATTCATTACAAATGAATGAATATTTTACCAAGTTATAAAGTTTTCCATACATAAACGTGTATCTTACAGTTCCTTTGTGAGATAATTACGCACAAATCTGTCATATCAAAACATTCTATTGCAGTATTTTATCTGTTTTATGTGCTCTATATGTATATATATGTATATATATATATATATATATATATATATATATTGTTGCACTGTTGGAGGAGCCTGTGACCTATGTTTTTCATTGACATATCTACACTGTAGCTAATGGGCATATGCCATAAAGCCTTGAAACTTGAAATTTAAAATGATCAGAAACTGCATTGTCTCACTGAAAACAGCTCTAAAGAAAACCCAATTCCATACAAAGTACTTAACTTTCTACCAGTTGTAAAGTGTTGCTCACTTCAAAAGTGTATCTAAAAAGTATCTTAGTAACAAAAACAAAAGCACTCCAGTAGATGTAGCCTCATGTAACTTCATATAGGGATTCTTTAATAGTTGTGTGAAGTAATTAAACAATAAGGGGGTATTAAGATCTTTAAATTATAATTTTCCTCTCAAAGAGACTTCGTTGTACACACACACACAAAACAACATTAAATAATGACCCGATATTATAATGATAAAAGTACTTACCAGAGTTTTTCCAGATCAGATCCAAATCAAGCCTCATTGTCTCCACCCCAGAGTTCCCGTTAGCCGGTAATTACCGGACTATGACCGGTAAAATATGCTGAAGACCGGCAAATCTAAATCTCTCCGGTCAGAATGTCCGGTCAAAATGATATCCCCTTAGCGCAATACCGCATCAGTTGCGCCACTTATGTGACAGACAAGAATAGTATGTGACAGACAAAAGAGTATGTGACAGACAAGAATAGTCAATTATAATGTCTACACATAATGTGGAGAAAGAGATGTCCTGTATGGGTTGATTGCGCGTTGATCTGTTGGTAATGCCTCGGGGTTCCGGTGGGCATGTAAACAAATGCTGTGCTATACTTTGTGGCCTCACCCCGTTGCATAGCGACGCTTATTGTTTAGGTGTCTTTTAATAAGCAGGTAGTCATATCATTAGCTAGAACTAGCTAGATCTGATCGATATGGACATAAACGCGAGTAAAGTCTAATCTGACGGGAGAGACCAGCTGCTGCTGACGAGTCGACACGCATCTCTGCATGATCCCCTGCAGCGGTGAGCGGAACAAAACGTGTTAAAATGGCCAATTTTACAGCAGAAAAAAACATGTTTCTACCCCTGGATGCAATAAATATTATTATGGATATAGTTAGATTCCACCTTCATGATTATGAATCCCTTTTATTTATATTAGGTCTTAAAGTTTTTGCATAAATTAGGGCTTGGTCACATTGAGTGACAGCTCTGTCAAGTGACTGCTGCTGTTAGCTTCTTGTCTCTCTGCTAGCTGCTCCGTGAAGCTACAGGGACTCTGCCTGCTCAGTTCATCCAGGGAACACAACTTGACCCCGGCCGTCAGGGTTGAGCGAAGCAGGCAGGACCCAAATGCAGATTTCACAGAAAATAACTTTATTTCAAGGCTAAATAGTAACAAACAGAACTCTTCCCCGTGAACACAGTCAAAGACAAACAAGGATCTAACAATGACAGACAGAAAAACCTAAATACTTAAACTTAAATGCACACAAGACTAATCACACAAACAAGACACAGGTGAGGAGGGAGGAGAAATTCTGATGACAAAACAGCATCTTGTTTGATATGTGTAATACATTAACAATCAAAATAACCGGTTTCTGTTCCTTCAAAAAACATTCAAATCTTCTGAGCTATATTTTTATGAATATACAGTATCACTTTTGAAGTTATGTTGGATGTAATTTAATATTAAGGCTGGTATTATAATTTGTTATATCGCTCAACTTGAGTTATTGAAAAAACATTTGAAAACATCAATCTATTGTATGGACTGTTCGAAAGATGCAGCACTTGATAGAAACACATAGAAACATTTAATCTCAGTATGGACTTAAATCTCCACTCCTCCCCCGCAACGAACACACATCTTTTTAGACTAGCTTTTAATGTGTGATTGATGACAAGTCCTTGTGACAACTGTGGTTTTATTGCTCGATTTTAAATATACTTTTTATATTATCTTTTTCCTTACCTCTGTGTCTTTCAGCACTTGATAAAGCACTTGATAAATAAAATGTATTATTATTATTATTATTATCTAGCCGCCCTTTTGAGGACATGTGTAGGAGAAGAGAACATCCATCATATTCGTAATAATAGGAGGTTGTGGATGGAGGCTGTTTGGCAGGTGGTGAGCGAGGACCATCTCCCAGGCATCAATCAGATGAACATTCAGTCCTTTAAATATGGCTCTTAGCCAGTGGCGAGCCGTGAGCTTTATACCTAGGCCCTCTGACCCCCACCCCTTCCCTCGAAAAAAAGGAAAAAAAATAGTTATTACGTCTCAGCGTATACTTCAGCGGAATATCAAAACAACGGCCCAGGGTGCAAAACGCATCAATGACAGCGACCCTCTACCACACAAAACAACACCTGTGAACCCAATTTGTGTTCTTTGACATTGAAAATGATATTGCATTGTGTTTGTTACTTTCGTTACAGTTGTATGTCTTACGTGTAATTTGGCATGCTTTTATTTTGAAGGCGAGTTCACGCTGTTGACAGGAAGTTGTTGTTCCTATGGAAACAAGAAAAGTTTCACAGCGGGCGGAAGTTGTCATAAAGTCCGCGATAATGAAACCCACCCATTTAGAGGGAAGATATGATTGGTCAATTGTACTGTCATTTGACATTACTCTCTCGTTCAGTTACTATAGCGGGCCCTCTGTGAATCGCAGAGAGGGCCAGACCTTCTTTCATGTAACCCTTCACATTCAAACAGAGACCGAACAGGCAGATTCGAAGGATTTATTTCTTTGGAAATTTTATTTTATTAAATCAAGTTTTTTTTCCGTAAAACTAATGAAAAATATAACAAAAATAATATAAAAAAAATATATATTTTTAAAAAATATAGTTTTTTTAATGTTTTTAAATATTATTTTTTGGAATATCTTAGGCCCTCACAGAGGGCCTAGAGGGCCCTGACGGCTCGCCACTGCTCTTAGCACCTTATCAAACTGCACCGAGAACCAGTCGCTGTTGTTTATCGCCACATCAAGCAACAAAGCTTTGGGGTTTGCAGTCCTGATGATGATCACCGTTTTTGGAGCCCTGTCCAACAGCCGCACCACCGCACTGCGGATCCTTTGTAGCCGCCGGATGTAAAGCTCGATGGGGAAAGAGCCAAAGTGAGCCCAGATGCCAAAAACGACGACAATGTTGGGACCCGCGATTAAGTCATCTAGTTCATTGGCAATGTAACGAATTTCTTCAATTGAGCCGACAAAACGGAGAGGAGGACCATGGAGGCGGAAAGTCACCATGATTTTGTTTTCATAGTCTAAGGCCATGAAAGGTCCATTTGTCCTCGAGCTGCCCAGGTTAAACTCCTTAAGATCTAAAGGTATTACAGAGGGAACAGATTAAGATGCAGTGTGAACATAATGAAACTGTTGCCGGAAATCCCTGTGGATTAGTTACCTGGTAGTGCTGCGTTGAGGAACTCAAACCACTGCCTGATGGTAGAGTCTCCATACAGGTGGACCACTTTGCCTTTTAGACACTGAGTGATGGCAGATGCGCCGGTGAATTGGCGAACTTTGGTGCCATCTAGTGCTCGCCATAAACCCTGGTAGTAATAGCCAGAGGCTTGAAAGTTCACAATGCTGCTCTCCACCTCTGGTTGACCTGAGAGAAAGTTGAAGGATAATAGGGGGGTTGTTTTACGTCTGTTACTGACCTTAACCAAATCAAGGTATAGACTGAATGTATGAACATTGTATGGCCTTACTCCTGAGAGACTAGACACTGCAGCTGTGCCGTGTTGACAACGTTTGAGCTGAGAGCTCCATGCTCCCTTTGCTCCTGTCAAATTGGCCTGCTAAATACATCTCTCAACAGAAGAATGATACCCAAAAGAAAGAGTTGTTGTTTTGTTCTGCCCCTATACTTTCGTCATCTGTACATGGAGCACATTAGATCGTGAAATCAGTAATAAATGCATTCCTTACCTTCCTTTTTTGGTAAAACAGTGACACCGGCAGGTCCTGAAGCCGGAATGCGGACTTTCAAGTTGACACGACTGAAGAAAAGCACACAATACTACAATAAACATTAATATCCCAAATGCAGCTTTTCTTACATGTGGTTGTGGAATGGCATGGAGGTTTACCTGGGGTAAACAGTTTAGAAGGTCTACTTTTCCTCGTGTGAACTTGGAAGGTTCAAACCTTAGAACTAAGCCTTATGGCACAACATTTTGCAAAAGATAATAAAAGTGTATTTGACCAAAGCTGTCCGGAAGTGAAGTACTATGAATTGATCAAATAATCCAAATATCACACATTTGTCTCATTTGCTTTACAGAGTGTATTCTGAAGCACACAACGCCCTCTGTCCTCACACACTCGCAGCGCACAAGGAAAAATGTACTAAAAGAAACCCCACAATTGAGGGATTAAAGGGAAAAAATAGAAGAACCTCGGGGAGAATGAGAGAAAGGTTACTTCTCTGAGGAGGTACAGACATGTGTAGATGTTATGTGTACAAATAAACAACATTATAAAATTAAAACAGAAAATCCAGATTTATATCCTATCAAACATTTTTTTGAATGAAGGTCAACTATGATTCAGACTGAGTGGTTACATTTATATTATCTTTTAATCTAAACTGCCTTTACTGACAAACTTCTGAAACTTCTGAAAAATGATGTATGTATTTATAAGAAGTCACACAAATGACCAGTCTCTTTGCTTCCTTACCCTTGAAAGAGCTTATCCTCCTTGGCCTTGAGCAGTGCAGGAGTTTGTTTGTATCCTGCCATGCTGTGGGCGATCCTTGCATCACAGCTCATGTTCTTTGGATTGTAGCAGAACCAAGGATCGCCGGTTCGAGGGTCGGTGAAGTCGCAGATTGGCTGCTTGGTTTGACGCAGGCACATGTTACAGATGGTGGTTTGAGAGCGTGAGCCTAAGCTCAAGACGCTTTTGAAAAATATCCTGTCAGGTTGTTCACTCGTCAACCTGTTCAGCACTGTGATAGCTTCACTGGGATGAACTAGCGTCACCTGATTGGGTAGACAACAAGAGTTTTTGTTGAAAATGTACAATTGGTGACTAGACTCTGCTTTTGTCTGAAATAAAAAGTCGTATCAACATTAGTTAAAAGAGGGTGGGGCTTTGTGAGTAATCAGCTGGAAGACAAATGACACACCTACAGCAAAATCACATAGAAAAAGATAGTTTTAAGCATCACCTCAACCTGAGCTGCTCCTTCCCAGAGTAAAGGAAAGACAGCAGAGTAGCTCCCATTGAGATGGTCCACCACTTTCCCAGCTACACCTGCACCAAGCGTTAGGTTGTGCAGCCGGGCTAATAAAAAGTCCCCCCCAGACTTCTTGGGTTGTCCCTTGAAGTCAGAGATGGCGATGCTAACTTCCAGCTGATCCCCTACGTGCCACTGTCCTCCTCCTCCTCTCGCTGGGAGAATGGTGAAAGTGCTGTGAGCTGGATCACTGGTCAGCTCCAGGGAAAGAGGAGATGGCAATGCAGGAGTTTCAGGCCAAGCAACAGATTCTAGTAGCAGGCGTTCCTCCAGAGCATCCTTAGGGGACAATGGTGGGAAGTTGCAGATGCTGCGGACTTTGGGAGGTTCAGTAGTAGCTTTCGGGTAGACGATGGTGGAGCTCATTTTAGGCTGAAACTTGAAGGGGTTGAGAGACAGAGAGAAGTTTACATAGATACGTCAAACAAATGCAGCAAATGTATGAATATTTGTTAAGGGGGTTGATAAGAACTGTTGTTGTGTAATGTTTGCTCCATTCCAGGCTTCCTGATTTCTGTCTTTAAAGTTTCTCTTTTTTGTATTTGGCAAACTGCAGAATTACATGTTCTACGGATTCCTCAACCTGGCAGTGTTCATATCATCCAGATAGATGTTTTCCTTATGAATAATGTAATGTTGTGTTCAGTCTAGTACGTATGTTCTAATCTAAGCCTTAACACATTATCCAAATTGATGGTTCTTTTAACTGTCCTGACTGGTTTTTGGCTGCAGTGCATATAGGTGTCTTCTTGTGTTTCTTTTGTCCCAATTGTGTTGCCACTCCTTCATGATGTTCTATTTCACTATGTTATTTGCCTTAGATTTACTGAGTCCAATGTTGATTATTTACTCATGTTTAAGAGACTGCTTGTCTAATGTGTCACATGTTCATTTCCCTTCATTCCTCTGTATGATGTTATCCACATAAATGTTATCTCGATATTTCTTAATCTTTATGGTGTTTCATAAATGTCATTCACAATATCCTGCCTACGATGGGATGTAATGAAGTGGCATTATTGCTGAACTTAAATCTGAACAAAGAATAATCCTTTGGATTTGCATCTCTTCTATCCCCTGTAATGCCTCGTGCCATTGCCATTAACTCGACTGTGATTATAGATAAATGATCTGATGTTCTCCGTTTGAGCAGACAATCTGATACTTTTTTTCTAATCAGCAACACTTGTGCTAACACATTACACTCAAACATATAACATACACTGTGGATGGCTCATGCACAACACAAATCCAAAAATAACTCACCAATGTGTCCCATATGTTAAGCTGAAAAAGGAAACATTCGTTTTAGCCAAATATAAAACATTTCTGGAATTCAATTCATTCCTGCAGTTCAGAAATTGGAATTTGATGGATACCCTTATTTCTATTATTTTATATTATCTATTTATTAAACAATATGCTTTTTTATTCCAATTGAATAAAAGCATATGTAAAGAATAAATACCTGCGGCTGGTGGAAAATATTTTAGGTGGGGCTGTGGAAATGGTGATCAAACAATACTAGGGGGCATTTTTTTGAGAAAAGACCCCTAAATTATGACTTCTGGTGATGTTAGAGGGGGGGGGGGGGAAGGACAATTTGAGGCTTAAAAATATGAGAAGACTGATCAATACCTCCATAACTTCAGTGTGGTTAGCTATGAATCTTCCAAATCTTCCAAACACCTTGTCCTGGACATAGTTTCTACAGCATAAACTGTGCTAACAAGCTGAGATTCCACAGATTCTAGAAATATAAGTATCATCACTGAGCGATCAGAACTTGCGACAGGGGAAGCAAATACAGACATCACACGACGTAGCTTTAGGTAGCAAAACACGGAGATATGCTCACCTTTTGCAGAATAACAATTCTGATCAAAAACGAGAAAAACGCAGCTGAAGGTTAATCCAATGTGTCTGTCACTTTGAAAAAATGATTGATGATCCATAATTACATTTTTATGTCAAAAACGGAGTTTTCATTAGCTGCTAATGGTAGCTTCCAGAGTGTATGACAGCTTCCTGTTTTGTCTCCTTGGATACGAGTCCAAACAACTCACAGACTGCACCGGGCGCTCACGTAGGAGCCCTGTGACCATCAGATTTGACGACGCAGATTGGCTGAAATTATGTTTCGGCGGCATAGTTTAAAGATAGCAACAGTTGGCTTCTGCTGCACTTGCTGCACAACAGCGCCCAGACGAGAGGGAGTAATGATACACGGGCAAGGCCAGGCAGGAAACATGTGACTTATCAGTAACTTTAGACATCGTAACACAATTTTAAACGAGATTTTATTGTAGATTATACATTTTACTGATACCAATTATATAATATTTACCTTGTTTATTAAAAATAAAAATAAAAAATATATCTTTTAAATATATATTTTTTAATTTTTTTAATTTTTAATGTGGGAAGAGGGGGGGCGGCGCCCCTAGCGCCCCTATGGGCCGGCCGCCACTGCCTGAATGTATTTAGCAAATAATTCGTACCTATATTTCCGAAAAATTTATCCTCTCATATTTATGCGCTGTTGTTGTCGTTGAAGTATACGTGTAGCATAATTTAGACATAATCTGTTTCTTTTACACTAACTGTGTGCCCCCATTTTGAAAATGGCCGCCATTGGTTGTTATTTTACCGGTAGCTTAGGATCTATTCTAGACCACCTAGGATCTTGATTCTGGTGGCTAATCCTACATTTTCAAGGATGAGGAATGCAGTGGTACTATTTACAACATGCTAGAATGTAGCTAACTCCATGTATCTGGTATTCAGGGAACAAAATACACAGTAAAACCATTAACATATTTATTATTGTTTTATATTTGATGTATGCACCATGACATCAAGTCAAATTCCTCGTACGTGTGAACCTACCTGGCAATAAACCCGTTTCTGATTCTGGTTCTTCTGATTCTGATTATGGTGAAGTAATACTTGTTACATAATATGTATGTAATATTCAGGGGTGCACATAACTTTTTTGCCCTCAAAGGAGCACCTGGAGATGTTGCTTGGTGCGAATCCTTAAAATGAAATAAACCGGACCTTTTGAGGGGTACTTGACTTTATGAACGGGTGAGGCCCTCTCCGCGAGGTTAGGCCCCACCCAGTCTGCGTGATCTGCGTGTAGGGATGGGCGGGCCTGCTTCCACCCCTCTTCCACATCATCAAACGTCATCCATGTATCCCACGCCGTCTTCTTGCCCCTGCCACCAAAATATGGCACAGTGTCACATCCAGTAAATGCATGGAACATTGGTAAGGCTATGCATCGATCTGGACCTAGTGATCTCGCCATCTCATGAGCTGCTAAATGGCGAAAACTCTTCCAAGCTCCAAAGGCAACCCACAGCAGTGATGTTGAGGGATTGGGCTGCTGTGAGTGCCAGTACTACCACATCCGTGTCAACTGTGCGTATTGTTGGGGAAATATTTTCCAAGACCCATAACTGTGACCCAGTTTATCAGTTCATACTGTCCTGACTGAGCACACGCACCTGTAACCTTGGCTGCTGTGCTCTCAGTGTTTTGTCTCCCTGTTCCTGCCTGTTGGCGTCAGCTCATAGAGGTGTTATGATTCTATCTTGTTACGCACAATGTTGATTATTCTCTCTGAACTAGCTAAATACACGGGTCTGGGGTAAAGTTCTTCAGAATTGATGTAGCAACTCTTCCGTGAAGTCAGAACCTCTGACTCTTTGACTTGTTTTGTGAATTCTCCGGCCGAGGCTCCTAAATAAACCCATCAGTGTTTGCCATCAAAGCTCCAGCTCTCCTCGTGTCTCTCTGAGTCCTGACTCCAATTGCTTCAGAAGTTTCCCCCACACGTATTGACACCTTGCTATACCCTTCCTTCACAGCATCTCCTAGGTGCAGTAGGATGCAGTTATAAGCCTCCCCATGTGTGCATGGTGCAAATATGGATTATTTGTTTGCCGGTGTTGAGGGCTGTCACACTGGTTGCCAGGAAGGAGAACAGTTAAGCATTCTTGTCTTCAATGCAAATAAATGAACAGTCTATCATTTTAATGCTAGGTTTATTTTATCAGTGAGAGTAATATCAAAAAAGAAAATCCAGAAATTGAAATTATATAAAAGATACAAATTGATATGCATTTAACTGTGGGAAATAAGTATTTGATAGTGATCCCAGATAACAGTTCTCACCTGGAAGAATATTAAGAAAGCCGTGAGCAGAAGGAGAAAGATGGTGAAACATCTTCTTCCTTTAAAAGATGATTCCTTCATGATATTGTCCAGCTCCAGCCTGACACGGTGACCACTTCCTTTGGTACAGGATTAAATGATAAAACATGTATGCCAGGTTAATACAACATGTAATCATAAAATAAATTATAATTAGAAAAAGATAATTTTATTAGAGCCACTCTTACCTGCAGCATTAGAAACATGTCTTTTATTTTTACAAGAATAATTCTATAGTTGAATATAAACTCAAATTTCTACATAATAATTACTTTTTACTTTTGGTACTTAATGTATATTTTATTGCACTTATTTGCAGTTTTGAATGCATGATTTAAAAAACTGTTTATTTGTCAATCTTCTCGAGAACTTTAAAGTAGCATAACAATTGAAATAGTCCAAATAAATGCAAGTACCTAAAAATAATACACATTGATATTAGGTTAAAGGCAACATTTAGTGTTATGTTACCAATACAATGAAACCCCAAATAGGCCTACTGTATTAGAGAGTATGGCCTTACCTTAGCGTAGTTTGGGAGATGAAAGTCTGAGTGTGATCCTACACTTTAGTATGGGTTGATCTATCAGGGAGGGACTGGGACTGAAAAACGGCCCCTGGACTCTGACCAAGCCAACAAAAAATGCGCACATGCCTGCATTCGCACTGTTATGTAACTATCCTGCACTGTAAAAAAAAGATCCTAATTTTACAGGAAATAACTACGTTTTTATAGTAATTATCATGTTTTTTTAAATAACTTGCAAAATCCTGTAAAATTACAGATATTAACTATAAATTAACAACCCAAAACATTATTTTAAGTATTTTGACAATAACAACAAATAACGTTTATTTCATTTTTTTTAAAGTAAATTTACTATATAATATTTACAGTATTTTTGCACTTTTCAATACATGCAGAAGTAGGTAATTTTTTTTATTATATGTAATTAAATATGTAACTCGTAATATAAAAGTGTATTACTATTATAAGACTTTAAGATATTACTTTGTAATTTTAAAGGTGGGGTAGGTAAGTTTGAGAAACCGGCTCGAGATACACTTGTTATATTCCATGGAATGCTCTTAACATCCCGATAGCAATGAATATCTTAAATGCTTTGACAAAGAATCCATAAAGAAATGTCATCTGTGGAAGCCGTAGTACTGTAAAAAGTACGACCAATCATTTTAGCCGGCCCGGCTAAAATAACTGGATGGCCTACCTGCCTGTCAGCCTTCCATCTGTGCACAAACTTATCTCGTGCCCTCATTGGTCATGTGCGCGTTAGTGTCACGATCTGTCTGCGTTGTGTTTTGTCTTGTCTTTGGTTTCCTGTTTTATTTTGAAAAGTGTTCACCCCCCTGTCTTGCCTGTTGCTTTCTGTCTGTGTTCCCTCCTGCCTGATTACCCGATTGTGTTCACCTTGTGCCCCTGTGTTTTCTCCTCCCTCCTCATGTCTCTTGTTTCTTTGATTAGTCTTGTGTGTATTTAAGTTCTGGTTTTTCTGTCTGTCATTGTTAGATCCTTGTTTGTCTTGACTGTGTTCACGGGGAAGTGTTCTGTTTGTTCTTTTTAACCTTTAAATAAAGGTATTTTCTGTGAAATCTGCATTTGGGTCCTGCCTGCTTCACTCACCCTGACAGTTCGTGTGTGTTGGAGGAGGGGCTCTGTAAGGAAGTGGCAGGATTTTCGCTTAGCGAGCTAACTTCAGGGAAAACTCGGGGTTTCCGGTCCTACGACGCTGGTTCTCTTCTTAGCGGGCTAGATCTCCATGGTAACTTATGCTGAGCGGCTAACCTCCTCGGGAGCAGGTTAGGTTGCAGGCTAAGAGATCAACTCAGTGAAAGCACTGCCTGCTGACCAATCAGAGCTCCGTGTGCAGAGTTTAAAGCTATCAAGTCATATTACAGGGTAGAGGAAATACAGAAAAACTGCCGTTGCAGGAAAGACGGCCGGCAAAAATCAACTGACTGCGTGAACGTGAAAATTAATAGAATATCCCCTCCCATCTTCAGAGCAATCTGACTATTATAACATTAGCGTTAAGAAAGCTTACTTAAATATCTGCCACAACATAAGTAACCGGATCAGAGTAACATTAAGTACAGTCCGCGGCACTGTGAGTGCAGACGTCGATGTGTCCCATTATCATTCATATCATATCACATCATAATGTATCATATATCTCCTTATCTGAGTCAGCTTCTTGAGCCGTATCTGGCCGTGCAACACTCACAGTGTCACATACTGTATGCAGAAGTATTATTTTAAGCAACACATTAAGTTGACGAAACACTCGAGTCAAATTCTCCTAATTAAAGTCAGATCCACTCGTGTCTTGGACGGGGCAGTGATTTCATAAACCTGTTAATGTACGCATTCAAACGCTTTTTCTTTTACCAGCTGTATTCACCTTGCAGGTGCAGCTATGTGGCTTTTATCCTGGATAAAGTGTTTAAGTCATGGATGTTTAAAGTTTAACTTCTTCATATTTGACTAATATTATAGTTCACTTTTCATTCAGGAAGTATGACGCTGCGCTGTCAGTACGCTTGTCCATGTTTGTGATTGGTCGAATGCTCCAAATACCACCCCTTTCATGTGAGCGCGCACCTAACTAGATAGGACACGGCTGGCTTGAGTGATCCACTTGATAACCAGTGTCGTAGGACCGCTTAGCGAGAGCGCGTATGTTTTGAATTAGGCCAACCGGCTAACTCAAACATATCCAGGTTATGTTGAACCGGCTTTGTCGTACAGGCCTCTGGTTTCTCCAAAATTACCTAACCCACCTTTAACCTGTTTAGCCCTGAGCCTGTTTTTCAGGTCTCAGGCTCGAAAATGACATTCCCAGAACAAATGACCATATCTTCCCTTCTAAAAGGGTTAAATTAATAATCTTTTTTCTCAAAGTAATGATAAACCTGTGAGTTGGATGTAGAAAAGTCAGAATCAATATAGATGTTTTTTATTTTAAAGAAAATTCAGATTTTATATAGTAAAAAACTGTAAATTATAGTGTCCGTCCAAAAATTCATTTTTACTTATAGTGAAAACTACCCTTGGATGATGGTAAGGTAGACTAAAAGCTTTAGGAATCCAAAGTACAACATATAATAAGTACCCTGTATCAAGATTGATGCAAAACAAGTGACATTTGACCTTTTTAGAGAGGTTTAGCAAAAGAAACTCCACCTCTGAGGTGATTTGGGTGGAAATGGGGGTTTTACCGTTTCTCTGGAACCCATTGGTCGATTTTGGTGATTGACATCTCTTTCTGACCGTTAGAGCCAATAGAATCGAAGGGGAATCTCCCCACTCACTAACATGGTACAACAAAAAGGTGGGGGCTTCGCGCATGCAGTTTTGCATCAGAGCGAACCTCATTTCATTTAATTTCAAACCTTTATTTAACCAGATTGGTCCCAATAGGCGCGTTCACACCAAGTACTTTTCCCACAGTAGTTCATGAGAACTTTAGTTCATGAGAGTTCTTTTAGTTCTGACGAACTAAAGCAGATCGCGTTCACACCAAAATGAGTTCCTGGGGGTGGATTAGGCAAATGAGCCGCTGACGTCACTTCTTCTTCTTCTGCTTTGGTTTTCCTGGCAGGCCGCAAACAACTTCACGGCGAGTACAGTAGGTGGCGGTATGCACCTTAAAGTTGCAATTCGCCAAAAAACCGAGAGAAGAAGAAAAAAAACTTCCGCTTCCGCTGTATGCTTCTGTTTACCTTCCGACCTCAGACACGGTATGGAGTTGACGTTTTGGTGGTCGTGTTATACAGCTTCGTAACGGAGTTATTTAAGCCAATAACTCAGCCACAAATACAAATACAGATCGACCATTCAAATGCAATAGAAATGCTGAGTCGGAGGCGAAGGCGGTTAAGAAGCCTTAACAAAAGGATTAGACGACGAAATCACACGCGATGGACATGTTTCGCCGTTGTACAGCCGAGGATGATGGCCGTTATCACGCCCAAAGAACAGCAATGGTACGTTCATTAAATCACATTAATACTATCTAATGTAGGATTTATGGAGTTATGTAGGGCTAATTTGTGTCTTTGTATGTGTTCCAGATATGCGAATACTACGGAACTCTGGGTGAACAATAGAACGTCGGCCTGGTGGGAGGTGGTGCCAACATGTGCAGTGGATCGAAGATTTCCGAATGTCCAAGGGCTCTTTTCAACTCCTCTGTATTCGCCTGGAAGCAACGTTGTGGAGAGGCATCTGAACAGCATGGAAATTGTAAATTGACAATAAAGCTGATATTTTGTACAGTGCATTTGGTTCTCTTTTATTTACCAGTCAACAGACACAATTACAATAGTGCAGACACACCTTAGTGCAAAGATTAAATGTCAGTATCAAAACAGTACTCATACTGTATATTTGTATATTAATGAGTATATTATGTTAAATGTGTGTTAAAGACAATGGGATGAGGTTGAAAGCTCTTTAAAAACTTTTGTATACATACATGTTAACATACATGTTAAGCATGCACACCTGAAGAACTACGTTACACACACACAGGTTAGTCTGTGTACCGCTGCACTGCTGCTGGTTTAAACAAAGACAGTCATGATGCTAGTGCCGTGCATGTAGGTTCTCTTTTATTTATCAGCAGCAGATCAATAAGTGTCAGTAGTATCAAAACAATATAATAACAGTGGCAATATATATATATATATATATATATATATATATATATATATATATATATATATAATAACAATAGGTAGGCTCAGCAGCAGACACACCTTAGTGCAAAGTTAGGTGTCAGTATTAATAACAGTGGCATATATATATAATCACAATAATACAAAATTAACTGTCACAGGTGTAGGCAATTTGGGGTGAAGTGTTTTGCCCAGGGACACAACGACATCCTGACTGCAGTGGGGTTTGAACCTGTGCTCCCCTGATCCGAACACCAACGCACCAGACCACTGCACCACACGCCTCCCAACAAGTCATTGTACAGTTTATCAACGACAAGTTTTTCTTAATTTTTGTATTGAAGGCCTGTTGGATTTAATCAGCTCGCTTAGCACT